GAAAATAACTAGATTGCTGCTATTCTATTTCAGAAAATCAAATGACATTTTTGCACTTTTCTGGTTAGACAAGAACTCTGAATTGTATGTTTATATATATTCAAGATGGACAGTATTTAATATTCATTTCTTCTGTATATGTAGGGGTGTGGGTCTATACATATGTTGTATATAGTATGCTTAAGTGTGTGTCATGTATGTGTTTCACTTTGACAGCGGGCAACTAAATTTCATTTTTGATGTGTGCCGTTGTGCCCACAGTAAAAAATGACCATAAAGGTTATCTCATCTCATCTCATCTCATCTCATCTTAATCTTAATCTTAATCTTATCTTTTTTTAAGATGCAGCACTCCTGCTTGTACTCAGTGCAAAGTTCAGAAAATAATAAGGTGTGTGTTTTTTATTTGTCAGTTTCTTTACATTTGTCAGTTTCTATCATGTTCCAGCTCTCTCTTTCAAACAAGGGACTTGTTTTCTGAGCAGCTAGTCAACTTAAGCTTGACAGGATCCAGCTAAGTTGCATAATCATGGCAAGTCTGCTTCCCTCCATTCTTAATTATTTCTGCCCTAGTTTCTTCCCATGTGATTTCTTTGCCACATTATTGACACTTGGGAGATATCCAAATGAAACATGGGAGGAAGGGCAGACCAACCAGCCTTTGCCATTCCTGCTGCAGAGCTTGGCTGACTGGTGTTTTCCCCCTTGCTGATGACATGCAGAAAAGGTATGACAACAAAGCCAGAAGAGAAAACAAATCACTTTATCTATAAGGAATAGTACACTTACAATTCAGGACAATGCAGTGACTTGCAGCAGATACAATAGAGAAAGCAAAAAGATTGGCACTGGGACAGTCAAGTTAGAGTGCCAGAATGGTTCCATAACTGACTCAAGGATGGGCAGATAACCACTGAACTGTGTACTGAGGAAAGACTCTGAGTATCTATGTAAATGAAACTATACATCAACATTATTGATTTGATAGAAAGTACAGTAAGCCGTTCAAGGTTATACAAGAACCATACAGCTTTTGCCATCTATCTGGGTTTCTTTGAATATACATCCAGTCTTCCTAGTCCTCCAGAGATAAATATCTCTACAGTTAAAATATATTAAATGGATTAAGTGAACTTTTGTAGTGCTGAATTTTACTCATTTCACCATCTACAATAGCTCCAGGTAGTTCTGCATAGGAGTCAAACCACAAATGTTAGGTAGGCCTAGATCAGAGGTCCCCAAACTCTTCGGTTCATAGACCCCTTCATGAAGTTTCAAATTATTCTTTGACCCGCAAACATTTCTTACATGAAAATAATTTAATAAATATTTCTTTAACTAATAGTACTATGAATAACAATGATGACAATGAATAGCTACACCAACCCTTGGTGGACAGTACTGACCACTTTGGAAAATCCTGTCCTAAATTAATCTAGTTATACCACAAGCACGGACAATGCAACAACTCTGGAACAAATGCCATCCTAAACTAGTATTCTGCCACTTCCAAAAAATAAGACTCCTTCCTGATTTTATCTGTATGGTATAGATACTTTCTGGGAAAACATTAGCATTCTAGCTGCCCACTTACTGTGTCCAAACCCTCAACCAAATAAGGTCCAATCTACAAAGGGTACCACTTCACTTTGCAGGCAAATTTTGTCCTGCTGTAAAGGAGTAACCAAGTTGCATAACTAAACAAAACCATGTCTAGCAATTCTCAAAGAATGCCTAGCTATTGATTAGGCACTGCAGAAACTCCAGCCACAATTGTGGAAACCCTATACTTTTAAGTAAGCATGCAAAGAACTGCAGTCTTAGTTTCTGACGCAGTGTCACATAGTGCAGGGCTTTTCAACCAGTGGTACGGGTACCATCTGTGGTACATTGGCACCTGGCAGGTGGTACACGACCATCCTAGAAAAGTGGTAGCGGGGGAGGGGAATGAGCTGAACCGGTGGCAGCAACGCACAAACCTGAGCGAGAGATGGCTGGAGCTGCAGGGCTGTCAGGGCTCAGCGGAAGCGCCAGGATCAGCGCCAGGTTCAAGCTGGAGCTCGGCGCTGATCCTGGTGCTTCTGCTGAGCCCTGAAGAAGCACCAATCAGCTGGAAAGCAGCACTGATCCTGGCACTTCTGCTGAGTCCAGAAGAAGCACCAATCAGCTGGAATGTTGCAGCATCTCCAGGGTCTTGTGATTTACATTCAGATGCTTGGCAACTGATTCATATTTATGACAGTCACAGTGTCCCAGGGTCATGTGAAATGACCAAAACCTGCTGCAACCACCCAGCAGACGGGGGGGGGGAAATAAAAACCAAACACCCCCCACCCCACCCCCGCTGCCAATCCTCAACAGAAATGCTCAGAACAATGAAAACCTCGGACAGGAGGAAGAGCGCCGCTGGGCGGGCAGGCCGGTGTCTGTGGCTTGGGGGGCACTTTTTTCAGTGCCAATGTAACTTCGAACAAGTCACTAAGCGAACTGTTGTAAGTCGAGGACTACCTGTACTTCATCACTTTTTTCCTTTTTTTTGTTTGATCATCAAGTTTTTGACACCTTGCTAGGTGACTGGGGGTACTCGGATATTGCCATATCCTAAAAGTGGTACAATGGGTGAAAAGGTTGAAAAGCCCTGACATAGAGTTACACTATTTTTGGCACAGAACTGGTTAAAAATGTGCCAATTTACCTTTTTAGAATTTCCAATGGTTCCTTTCTATCTAGAGTCAATAGTATTTGGGTCAATGCTTGTCAACATGTACCTGAAGTTGTAGAAAAATATTCTGCAGGAAATATGATCAACCACAGGAGCATCTGGAAGAGGGGGTGTTTATAAAAAGTCAAGAGGACATCTTTAACACACAAAGCCCTGCATAACACATGAAAACCAGGTGTGTGGCTTTAATTGCACTTCCACAGAGGCCCCTGAACAAGTAAGGAGTGGTTATTCTCCTTTCTGGCCCAAATTTACCTGCCAGTTGCCACCTCTTATTTTAAAACCACAAATTACAATCTTGTGCCAGGCATCCTAAAAAGAGGAGGACGAGGAACAATTTAGGCAGATTTGCCTAACAATTGCTCATGATACGGACATATAGATCACCAGAAGTCTCTATACTTGCACAATAACGTAATATTTGTAAATGGTTTTCTCTCATTCGTAAAGACTGGCAACAATTAAGATATCGAGGTGTACCATGTTTCACATGGTTATGGACTACAACTCAAAAACAATTTAACAAAATGCATCAGCACCTCCCATCTTCCTTCCCAACCCGCCCCCATCCCAGTGCTCCTGTTCTTGATTATATTTCTATTAATTCACTTCTATTCCATTTCTATTAATTGAGAAAATCTCAATGTACCAACCCGATGCTTATTAACACATTTCACCACAAGGTGGCAATATTACCACTCTGTATAAATGAAATCTACCTGCATTGTCAATACGTTTCTAAAAAATGAAAAATTGAATTTTCCATAATTTAATAAGTCATAAATTAAATATGTTTCCATATCTGCATCAAAGAAAGTCAGAAGTCATTTTTTCTATTGTTCTTTTTCTGTGAAGGATAATGTTCATTTCTAAAGGCTTTTGTACTAGCTGCTGGAAATCTGCCCTAGTTCTGTGATTGCTGTATTCTCACCAGAACTGTCCTTACAGATCCATTTAGCAGGAAGTGAAGACATCTTTCTCAATTCCAGCACCAAAGGCAGCTCCCACAATTGATGCTGCAATGTTTGAGTTAGATGCATTTCATCCCTGATGATGTTTCCAGCACTGGTGGCTTTAGGGAAGCATGCAGGACCAACTCTGAGGGCCTCACATTTTGGGAGATAGCAAAATCTTGTACATTTCTTAATGGACAAAGGTTTAACAAACATGAGCCTGAGTTACCTACAGTAAAATTGCTTAGACTGTATTTACTGCATCACTTTTGAAATACAAAATATCTTTATACATGAAGCATTGCTTAAAAGTTTTATAAATGTGAAAATCCCCATGGTCATATTTTTTTATCAGTTAGTACGGTAGTTAATTTACAGGAATTAACTAGTTAATTTTTTATTTTTCTGTGTCTAGCTTTAGTTTTTTTTTAATCTTCCTGGGACAAAATATACTGTACCTTTAAAAAATGAAATCCAATAAAGCTTGATCTATATAGCACTTTTTGTAATATTCCCATATGATAGCCTTTACAGCTATAAATTTAATCATGGGCACATAGAAGTACAGTGGATATATAAAGTCTACACACACCTGTTAAAATACCAGGTTTTTGAGATTTAAAAAAAATCAGACATAAATCATTTCAGATTTATGGAAATTCCTCCAGTAAAGAATTTATTTTTCAAATTTATAGGTGCTGATAATTCTAGGTAGCTCAACATCTGTACAATTGTTTTTACAAATGGTCAGTCATTTGTAAATTTAGCAATAAGTGAGCCAAGCATGATGAAGAGGATTTTCACTTGTCTTGGCTATACAGTACAGTAAAATGCCACATACTTTCATTATATCTTTATATTTAACCTTTTCAGGAATTAAGTAAACCCAAGCATATCCCAGAAATAGGTATACATCCGTTTCATCCATGTTTCTAAAAACAGCACTGTATTCTAATATGGAAAGTTTTACTTTCATTATCACAATATTCTGCAATCAGCAAGACATGGCCTCACCCTTATTGCATTAAGAATACTGATTGAAAAAGATTCTAACTGTTATTTGTTATTCATCCAGTTTTCCCTTTATTCAAACTTGAAGCAATAAAGGGACATAACTGTATGTTTCAGCTGTGATGTTGATGTGATGATGTATATTCTCAGTCATGACAGTGATGAATTACTATCAAGCTGGTGATGACTCTTAGTGACCACATGCAACTGCCTACAATAAGTATCCAATTTACAAGGAAGAAAAAAATATCTTAAAAAATGAGTAGAGAATCCATATACAGAGAAATTACACTCCAGTGCACAGGTGCCTCCCATCAAGAGATTATCTTGTACACAGGATCCCCAACTTCAAGTATTCCCATTTCCTCAATTCCATATAGCCATCCAAAAGGAGGATTAGACTTGTAGATATGTTCTTCAGAAGGATCACACTTGCGATAACTGAAAATAAATTAAATGGAAAAACAGAATTAGAAATTATTTTGGAATAAAATAGATGCTATACATTCCAGGATATAAATGAATAGTGAACGTCAATTTTGCAGCAATGAGATAATGGATATTTATCAATAGTGATTATGATAGAACAATCATCTATTAGAATGGAATGTTTTCATGTAACCTATTCTATAGGTTTACATGAAACAATGTCACAGCCATATAATATGGAATTAAGTTAGAGACATGCACAGAGCAAGAGAGAGAGCAACCTGAAGCAGTCACTTAATTTCTCTGAGGTAAAACTGGATTTACAATTTTGCATAAATTATTAGAAATATTGAAGCTTTAACTGCTCAGCTATTTCAGAATTATAAATCTAATAGATGCAGAAGCCCTGCTTCAAAATCAGAAAGAGAAGAAGACATGGAACTAGTAAAAGGAACTGAAGAAAAAAAAAATAAGTGGTTTCAGTTAATAGAAGAAAGTATTTCAAATTATAGTAAATGGGGAATTGCTTTGAAAAAACTAATTTAATCAATTTATAAAAAACTGGATCTTGACAAATTAACTGATTTAGATGTATACCATGTGAATCTGTCTGCCTAACATTGTATGTATGAGCTATAAAAGATTTATTGGAAAGAGCTTAAAGTGCTAAGGTATTTGAAGATGTTAAAACAATAAGAATGTTCCTTATCATATATGTGGTGCTGACTTCTGTTTGTACAGTGCTGGGCTGCATTAACAGAGGGATAGAATCAAGATCACGTGAAGTATTAATACCACTTTACAATGCCTTAGTAAGGCCACACTTGGAATACTGCATCCAGTTTTGGTCACCACAATGTAAAAAAGATGTTGAGACTCTAGAAAGAGTACAGAGAAGAGCAACAAAGATGATTAGGGGACTGGAGGCTAAAGCATATAAGGAAAGGCTGCTGGAATTGGGTATGTCTAGTTTAACGAAGAGAAGGACGAGGGGGGACATGATAGCAGTGTTCCAATATCTCAGGGGCTGCCACAAAGAAGAGGGAGTCAAGCTATTTTCCAAGGCGCCTGAAGGCAGGACAAGAAGCAACGGATGGAAACTAATCAAGGAGAGAAGCAACCTAGAACTAAGGAGAAACTTCCTGACAGTTAGAACAATT